TAAATGTCTAAAAAGAACCTAATTTGTACTATGCATTATAGTTCTCTTTAAATTATGCTGCTCCACTGAATGATATTCACATAATAGAACATACAGTACATTTTTGAGGGGAAATATGGAATTATTAAATAATATAAATTTTTAACATATAAAAATATTAAATAAACCTATAATCTCTCACTTGAACAAGATTGCTAGACAAAAAAAGACGAAATATGTTAAACTGTGCAATGTATCGTTATAATTTTTAAAAATAATGATAATCCAATTACTTGACGACGTTTCCATGTACAGTGCTGGACTAAATTTTAAAATTCACAGAAAACCATAACGGAAACTTTGGTAAAGAAAGGAAGGAAAGAAGGAAGGAAAAGCATGCCTATAAATATGTATTAAATATATACGTAAAAAAGTATTCATTAAAAAAAATTAACATGTTAAAATATTTATTAAACTTATTCAGTGAGGGAAAGAAGTATTTGATCCCCTGCTGATTTTGTAAGTTTGCCCACTGACAAAGAAATGATGAGTTTATAATTTAAATGGTAGGTTTATTTGAACAGTGAGAGACAGAATAACAACAAAGAAAATCCAGAAAAACGCATGTCAAAAATGTTATAAATTGATTTGCATTTTAATGAGGGAAATAAGTATTTGACCCCCTCTCAATCAGAAAGATTTCTGGCTCCCAGGTGTCTTTTATACAGGTAACGTGCTGAGATTAGGAGCACACTCTTAAAGGGAGTGCTCCTAATCTCAGCTTGTTACCTGTATAAAAGACCCCTGTCCACAGAAGCAATCAATCAATCAGATTCCAAACTCTCCACCATGGCCAAGACCAAAGAGCTCTCCAAGGATGTCAGGGACAAGATTGTAGACCTACACAAGTCTGGAATGGGCTACAAGACCATTGTCAAGCAGCTTGGTGAGAAGGTGACAACAGTTGGTGTGATTATTGACAAATGGAAGAAACACAAAAGAACTGTCAATCTCCCTCGGCCTGGGGCTCCATGCAAGATCTCACCTCGTGGAGTTGCAATGATCATGAGAACAGTGAGGAATCAGCCCAGAACTACACGGGAGGATCTTGACAATGATCTCAAGGCAGCTGGGACCATAGTCACCAAGAAAACAATTGGTAACACACTACGCCGTGAAGGACTAAAATCCTGCAGTGCCCGCAAGGTCCCCCTGCTCAAGAAAGCACATATACATGCCCGTCTGAAGATTGCCAATGAACATCTGAATGATTCAGAGGACAACTGGGTGAAAGTGTTGTGGCCAGATGAGACCAAAATGGAGCTCTTTGGCATCAACTCAACTCACCGAAGAGGAGGAATGCTGCCAAGAACACCATCCCCACCATCAAACCTGGAGGTGGAAACATTATGCTTTGGGAGTGTTTTTCTGCTAAGGGGACAGGACAACTTCACCGCATCAAAGGGACAATGGACGGGGCCATGTAACGTCAAATCTTGGGTGAGAACCTCCTTCCCTCAGCCAGGGCATTGAGAATGGGTCGTGGACGGGTATTCCAGCATGACAATGACCCAAAACACACGGCCAAGGCAACAAAGGAGTGGCTCAAGAAGAAGCACATTAAGGTCCTTTGTTGTTATTCTGTCTCTCACTGTTCAAATAAATCTACCATTAAAATTATAGACTGATCATTTCTTTGTCAGTGGGCAAACGTACAAAATCAGCAGGGGATCAAATACTTCTTTCCCTCACTGTAATCTCTCTCCTGAACAAGACTGTTCGACTAACAAAAAGGAAAAAGAAATCTGTTAAACCGAGCAATGTATCATTATTTATGCCACCAATCATTTTAAACCATATCATGACATGCAATTACAGGAAAATAATCAACAACAGAGTAGTGTGAGGCAGCCCGACATGAAGCATATTACCTTAAAATGATTATTTTCCAATTACAGCATGTCTCAAAGTATTTTTTTCTCGTATACCACAGCAATATTTGCAATGCTTTAAAATGTATTAAAGAATTACATGCTTTTTTTATCCATTTATAGTTACATTTATTGTTGTGGAGAGTCCATTGCAGGAGTTATCAGTTACGTGTTATCACTTATATTACTTACACTTACACTTACACACACACACACACACACACACACACACACACACACACACACACACACACACACACGCACACACACACACACACACACACACACACACACACACACACACACACACATATATATATATATAAAACATGTTATAGCAGCTTTAAACATTCCCTTACTAACATCTCATTCCAACAAACAAAAACATCACCATGTCAACAATTGCACATTTTCTCATTGCTAAATAATAAGAACAGAGACACAATCCATTTATGATTAGCTTTAGATCATGTGGCGCCATGAAGGAAGGAGCTGTTACTATAGAAACGATAAGGAATTAGAAAACAAATTAGTTATATTTGAATCAAGACCTTCTGACCAGTCAGGGTATGGGGGCTTAGTGCTTTGCACGTTCGCCTCACACCTCTGGGCTCGGGGAATGGATTCTCGTCTCTTTGCATGTTCTCCCCATGCTTCGGGGTTTCCCCTGGGTACTCCGGTTTCCTCCCCCAGTCCAAAGACATGCAATGTAGGCTTATTGGCATGCCCAAATTGTCTGTACTGTGATGGGTTGGCACCCCGTCCAGGGTGTCCCCCACTTTATGCCCTGGGATAGGCTCCAGGCTCCCCACGACCCTGTGTAGGAAAAGCGCTATAGAACATGGATGGATGGATGTATTGCATATTCGTGTCATAATATGCTCAGTAGCTGAAATCCAAAGTTCTTACTAGTGCAGTCTAGCACAATTGTCAAGGCTAGAGAGTGAAAAGGTGAACATCAGTTCTCATGCTTGAGCTAGAACTAAAAATGAAGCAAACTTGAGGAAATATGAAGATGCTTCATCCATTCTTAATGCTAAGCAGTGGATTTAAAAGCATCCACAAATTGCATGTGTGTTTGTGTGTGTGTGTGTGTGTGTGTGTGTGTGTAAGTGACTGTGAGTTTGCTCGAGGGTAGAGACGTGCAATTAGCAGATACGTGGGCGGCCATCCCAGTCTACAACAAGGTTTGTTACTGTGATGCCTGCACACAACCGAGGAGCAAGTCCCTAACCCAATACCCATGCCTGTCTTCTGACTTAAATATGAAGACATTAAGGTTGATTAGTCTTTCTAATTAAAGCACGCTCCCTTGACAATGCAGATATGTGGGCTGAACTTGCATAGCTGTGTGTGTTATACGGTAGATGTTATGTTTGAAAGACATGAAGATGTTGTCGTCTTTTGAGGGAAAGATTGTGATAGGAGGTTTCTTCATGCAGCTCATGGAACAGGTGGAGAGAGAGAGAGAGAGAGAGAGAGAGAGAGAGAGAGAGATCAGCAACCGAGGGGCCACTTGACTTCAGATGTTCAGGGTTTGTAATAAGAGCTCTCACACACACACAGAAAATGAACGTGTCTCTCATCAATGAGGTCTGTGGTCAGCACCACCAAGTTCTTATTATTGAGATTCACTCGGAGATGACTGATGAAATCTGCCTCCTTGGGCAGGATGTACAGCTGCAGGTGATACGTGATTATTTCACAGATAGAGAGAGAGAGAGAGAGAGAGAGAGAGAGAGAGAGAGAGAGAGAGACAGAGAGAGAGAGAGAGAGAGTTAGAAAGAAAGAGGCCTTCAGGCTCCTGATCTCCATTGAGCTGATGTCACCACTGCAGGTGCCTCAACACCCCCTTCTACAAATCAACCTGACTGAGGAGTCATTGTATGTGTGTGTATGTGTGTGTGTGTGTGTGTGTGTGTGTGTGTGTGTAAGCATGCGTGCACACACACAAATTCCCAGAGAACTTTTATCTGCAGCTCATCTGTGTGGTCTCAGGCGTGATGATCTTGGACACCAGCCATGTCAGCCTTCACAGCAGCAGATCTGGACCCAAAGAGAGAGAGAGAGAGCGATAAAGGTAACCGTGTTCTACTTCAGAGCAGCTTGTTGAAATCTCTATGCTTTATCTTTATTATAGCTGCATTTATTACAGCTGCCTTCATATTTTTGCAGAGCAACACCTGTAACACGACTGCAATTCTCCTTACATGCTACCTTGCAAAATGTCCCAGCGAGCTGTAAAATGTATAAGTGTTTGAGCGCTTAAAGTTCTGTGAGTTCAGTGAGAAGTAAAGCTAGTCTCGCAGAAAGAAGCAAAAAGTTTCCATACACCTTTTATACGGTGAATAATGTTCTGTCACAAGAATACAATGCGAGTTGGCATATCACACTTTGATTACGCAGTGGGGTAACATGGGGAAGTCTCTGTAGTCTTGGAGCTATTCTGAAGGATGCTACGAAAAACAAACAAACAAACAAACTGTAAAACTGTAAACGCGAAACATAACCCCTAGCCCTAAACCTTTTATAACTTATTGTACATCAAGAGTTAGACCATGTTGAACCCAAATTTCACATAGCTACATAATTGAATGCTTGCATTACTCTTGGAACTGTAGTTCTAAGTAGGTTTTCCCTCACGTTTGACTGACAGCTAGACCCCCCGTCTGTAAATAGGTTTAAGAATCACTGAAGAGTGAAGTTTGATGCCTTTGATGCCAGACTTCAGGGCTGCGAAATGAATTTTTTGGTCAGTTATCTTTGTTTGAAGGCATTTGGCATGATAGCATGGACGAGGTTACTGAAGATCCATCCATTCGTTTTCTATACCGCTTATCCTACACAGGGTTGTGGGAAGCCTGCAGCCAATCCCAGTGAACAAGGCGAGGGACACCCTGCCAACCCATTGTAGGGAACAATCGCACACACACATTGACACACTACAGACCATTTGGAAATGTCAAGCATATGGAAATGCCAATACAACCCATGTATTTGGACTGGGGGTGGAAATCGGAGTACCCGGAGGAAACCTGGAGGAACCCTGGAGGAGAAAGCATGGGGAGAACATGCAAACTCTGCCACACAGGGCAGAGGCAGGATTTGAACCAACAACCCTAGAGGAGTTAACCGCTAACCACTAAGCCACTGTACCCCTCGTGAATTGGGGGGTTGTAGGGGGGTTGGATCAGGGAGATCCAAAAGACAATAAATAGCAATACAAACCAATCTTGTTATTTTCACTGTAACAATTTGTGTACATAAACACATTTTACTGTGTAAAATACGGTCTACCATAAAAAAATAGAAATGCCATCATGCGTTAAACAAACTTTTACCCTCGAGTTTACAAGACTAGACTGTTACATATAGCCTACAGACTTTACTTGTAAATCAGTGGACCTTTCATGAATAAATACCATACATTTAAAAAAATAACAAGTTTACGGTGGTGCCGTTTTTTAAATTGTACGTCATTGTAAATAAACAACGGTCTTTCAGCGTAAAATATACAGGCAGGGAACTATTTAAATAGCTTATAACTATCACAATAAACTGTACCATGTTTTTTACAGTAACCACAGCTGCTAATTTTGTTTTTTTACTGTAATTATTTTTTTTTACAGTGTACAAACAGCTTTACTAAATTATTTACAAATGAGACCCATCATTCTCTACAGATGTTTTTTCTTTACGCTTTTTTCTTTAAACATTTGATCTCAAAATAGTACATGTAACCAGTAACTGGATATAATAGGGTCAAAGAATCTCAAAAATATATGACGAGACTACTTGTTCTTTGTAAATCACAGCGTGTGCAATGATAAGATGGACATTTTGCTTTGCTATGAGCCGTATACCGGTTCTTGGTCTGATTTGTCATGAGGACAAATGTGGGAATGTTTCTAAAGACTCAAACAAACTTAGATGACAAGTCAGATGGAGCAGTGTAACCTGTACTTGCCCAAAATAATGAATAAAATAAATTCTAAATAATAAATAATAAATTATTTTCAAAAGAAAGAATAAATTTATAGATCTATAAATCTGTACATCCTAGCATACTACATACCAGTGTATTTCATGAGTTAATCACTCTAATCGCTGCATCACTGAAGAGGTTACTTAATATATTTCTGTAATGAAATGTCTAATCAATTTCAAAATCCAAACAATAGTAGGTTTGGATTAAGAAGGTAATACATTTTCTTAAAAATAGAGGGAAGTAAAAATCCAAGGCTTAACCCTGCTTTCAGAGCCATCAGTGTAGATGCTCTGAAGGCCTCTAATTAGCATTTACCTTGATAATGTTCCTAATTACTATTTCTTTTTTTTTGTGATCCTTTTTGTTTTTTTCTTGCCTTAGGAGTTTGCCTGTGTAAGTCCAGCTTAATAAATTATTTGAAATGCCTCCAAGTTCCTTTGTGGATGAGAGGAACAGATTTGAACCAGCATTCTAAATGAAAGCTAGGAATCGTTAGCAGACTGAATTTTTTTGTGAGGGGGGAAAAACCAAATCGATGAAAAGACATCAGCTGCCCTCAGATCAGATCGAGATGGAAATAACATTAGACAGAAGAATGTGTTCACAGGTCGTCCAATCGTTAGCCTGAATAAATAAAGAAGGAAGAAAGGCAATGTTGGAACCAGGATAAAAAATGAACATGGAAAAAAATGAACGCATCCATGGTCTTGATAAATGAATTTAGAATCACGTTACTTGTTAAATCTTGCTAAGGAATAAGGATATGTCCCTTCACTAAAATCACTAAAATATTATTTTTAGTGGCATTGAAGATGTATTGGATTGTTTTTTTTTTGTTTTTTACATTTATTTAATTAATTATTTTTTTTAATCAATGTTAAACTCATCAGTTTTCAGTTTGGTGAATGGGATCCCAACCCTTCCTTCATCTCTACCTAAACAGATAGAGTGCGGCAGCAGTTAAGTCTTTTAGCCTTTGCAGCCTCATCATTTCTAAATTCTGCTCAAACAGAACAGCTTTCAAAGCTTAAACTTTCATACAGAATCCACCATTAGTGCCGTTGTTCTCGTCATCTCATAGATCACCAACAGTTGAGGTCATAAGTCTACATACACCTTGCAGAATCTGAATTCAAATCATCCAGTCAAATCATTAAAAAAAAAAAAGAAGGTAAATGACACACTTATATAGCGCTTTTATCCGAAGTGCTTTACACTGTGTCTCATGGTAGCAGAGCTGCCATGCAAGGCGCTAACTTGCCATCAGGAGCAACTTGGGGTTCAGTGTCTTGCCCACGGACACTTGGCATGTGGAGTCACCCAGGCCAGGAATCAAACCGCCAACCCTACAATTGGTGGACCAGCTCTACCACCTGCGCCACAGCTGCCCGATTATTAATCCTGTGTGTCATTACCTGGATGATCAACAACTGTTTTTTTTTTCTTTTGTGATAGTTGTTCATGAGTCTATTATTTGTCCTGAACAGTTAAACTGCCCACTGTTCTTCAGAAAAATCCTCCAGGTCTAGCACATTCGTTACTTTTCCAGCATCTTCTGCATATTTAACCCCTTTCCAACTAGTGTCTATATGCTGTTGAGATCCATCTTTTCACCTTGTGGACAACTGAAGGACTCGTACACGACTATTACATAAGGTGCAACCATTCACTGATGCTCCAGAAGGCAACACGCTACATTAAGAGGCAAGGGGGTGTAAACTTTTGAACAGGATGATCAGTGTTAATTTTGGAACTCTGAGTCCAACGTTTGCACTACTTACAAATTTTTTCACTTTCCTTAATATGACACTGAACGTCGCTGGGAAAAGCCGAGATTTTTTTTTTCATACCGTTGTAGCTGCATTTCCTTATTGCTGTGTTCCTCATGTCCAGTAATGTCAGAGTGGCCGGAAGTACAAAAATACAGCACAGACCAGCAGATTAGCACCAGAATCACTGAACACATCACAAATATTAAATATAAACGTATTCATTATGTTTCTGTGAGGTGTTTCTTTTGAAAAGACGTATATAGAGGATATCACCCGCAGAGCACAGCCAGTTGTAGTCTCTTGAACTACGTGCTCCAGATGCCCGTGGCATCATCTGGATTCGAAATGACAATACGGTGCGTCTCGAGAGCTCATGGAACAGAATCTCCATTTGGCAAATTTTTGTCATTACATGGAATTTTGCATATCAGAAAATGGCTTTTGATATATCCTACAGAGGAAGGTGCAGAGTCTAAGTGTAGCATCAGTATCTCAGGACCCCACGGAGCAGGTGAAGTGTACAGGTTTACGCTGATCTATGGAATGGTACTGAGACCGAGCAGTACCCACTCACTCCAGATTGACCTTTCCTGGCACCGGGAACTCCAGATCTAGTAACGGGTCCGGATATTTAATCATTAAGCTAGCACAATACACATTACGCTCTCCTCGTTCATGCAAATAGACTTCTTAAAACATAGCGCAAACAAACAATCGTCATATTCAACGCGTCCTTGTCAAGACCACTTGCTTTTGTTCTCCTCCACCTTCCACCTGTTGCCGTAATGGCTTCCGTTCTGGCCTGCAGATTGACATAGCGATAATGCTATTCATTTTTCGTATTAATGCAAATACGTAATTGTAATACGAATGCAAATCATTACTACACCCTGCAGACATATTGTTCATTTATCATACAAAGCCCAATAATATAAATAAATGAAGCCCCATTTTGAGTGGCATGTGATTACCTGAAAATACGATGTACACCTGATAAAGAAATGGAGAAAAAGTAACTCAGATGATTAGGATTTTTTTCCCCCCCTTGTTCGCCTGTTTTGCATTTGTTTTGCTTTGTTTTGGTCGGCAAAGTGTACCACCTGCTCGGTGCGGCGTTAATGGCCTTTTTTAATGCTCTCCTCAAAACTCATTTAAGGAACAATCCTTTCACTACTTCCTTAATTTCTGATGTAATTCCTCCCTCCTCCCTCCCCCGTAATTACTCTTTTCGTTCCGTTGTTTATCACACGGTGTACCTGCAATGGAAATATAAGACCTCGACTACACTTCCGCTGGACCAAGACGAAATTTAATTTGATGCGTTTGGCCGTCGGACGTAGTTGTCGCAGGGATGCAATTAAGACAATATTATCTGCTTTTTTTCTTTTTTTATTTTAGCCTTAGAGCCAGGACATGTGGGAGCTTTCTGATAAGGAGAGAAGAAATGTGGCGCACAGGGACGGCTGGCCAGTGTCTGAGCCTGTGACTTCAGTGGCTTCCAGAGCAATTAATGGTGTGGAGATTGCTGGATGGCCACACTAACAACGGATGCAGATGTGCTTATTGGCCAGTCAGGTAAGGAAACAGCCGTTTCCCACATGCTGCCCTCTCTTGTTAAAACACAACACGGAAGTGCATGTGTGAGTCATATGCACTTGGCCTCCTATTTCCCACCATTGAGCTCCTAAAATGGGAACGATGGATCACCCTTATAGCCTCTCTATTACTCTCTTGTACTACTCCTAGCAGAAATATACAGTAGTTCATACATGTAGCACATATTCTGCGTTGTAGTAACAATTCTTCCAGGCTTGTGATTTGATGAACAACCAGATTGACGGATTGTTTTCGATAGCTATACTAACGAGCAGTCTGTCAAATAAAAAATAAAATAAAGAATAATGACAACGACATGTCCTGACAAGTAGATGAGAATTAGCCGTACAGGGGAAAAAAAGAAACCCAGCTAATTCAAATGTATTGCAGAAGTGCACGGTTTGTTATGGTGGCTGCATCCTAATGGTTGAATTTCTGCTCATTATGACGAGTGAGGCAGATCCCAGCAAATCCCAAATGGGCCCTTTCATTTGTCAAACTTGAGCATCGTTACGCTCTTGTGATGCAAATTTGTCTCCCATTAAAATCTGTCTGTGGGAGTTGAAGAGGCTCTGTGAAAAACTTGCCACTACATGGAGGAGTGCACATACTTGTACATCAATATGTGTCTGTTAACTAGCATGTCCTCAAAGGATCTATAAGTTGGCATTTACAAAACCCTGAAATGATAGCGCTGCGACGCTTTAAAAAAAAAACAACAACAAAAAAAAGTCAACCGAAAGTTTTTGTGTGCACTATTTTTGGACCGTCTCGAGCAGAGCCAGGTTTTTGAACACAACC